TGGGTGTGATTGGTCAGAGACTGGGTGTTTGAAATGTTTCTTGTCATATCTGAGCAAACAATTCTTTTCTCTGGCAGGATTTTACAAGGTTTCCGACTGAGTATTCATATTTCACACTAAGAGTCTGAAACCTAAAGGAGAAAGTACCTTAGCAAACAGTGGCCCCGAGTCTCTGGAAGCCTCTGCTTGAGCTTGAGATCCATAGACTCAGAGGGAAAAGAAGGAAAGAACTCTTGGGTAACATTTTGTTTCAATCTTTTAGCATTTTTGTTGTAAATGTAACTTTTTGATATTTATGGCAAAGTATTTGTCATAAATATGGTAAATAGAGTTTTACTTATTTCTTCTTTTACTTTGGCTCCATGGGGTTTTACATGATCTCATCAGTCTCTGTTTACCTGTTCATGCTTTTTGTCCTGAAACACAGGTGGCAGCATGTTTATGAGGAGCATCACTAACTGAATAAAATGTTAAACAAACTGAAACAGATAGTAAGTTTTATTGTCTGTCAGTGTTCCTTATCCACGATGAAGGACTTGGTTATCCTTGCTGGCCCCAGTCTCAGACCACTGATGTCTGCTGGGGAACAGTCTCCTGCTGGCCCTGTCTTTGATTGACTCCATTCAGACCCTTTCATCTCTAATGGGCCTGTTTGCTGCTCTGTTATGGAAACAAACACACCTCGACCCACCTTCCCACTCCCATCCTCTCCTCCCCCGCAGTACCAGAGGGAGACTCATGTCCCAACAGAGCTGTTGTTCAGATCTCTATAATAAATATATGAGTCTTCATCATCCCCGGCCAAATCTCCAGTAAACTCATCTTCAGGACCAAGGCTTTGAAGATTCAAACTTCAAATCAAAAACTACAACACAGGTGTAAAGATCATAGGCATCACAACAGAGAATAAAGAGCTTTATGCACACACAGCATACTTACTGAATAATAATTTTGATAGTTTCTTGGAAATTACTGATAAGCCATAACTGATTGTTCTTTATAACAGATAGAGTGCAGCAGAAAATGGCTCATTATATTTCTGCCTCTTGTAGTAATTGGATTCTTCAAGGCTGTGATGACACCTAATAATCACTGAACTCTATTTCTGCCAGTCTCCAGTTGTTCCCCGCCCTGTCTGTAGCACAGTCAGCTAAAGTGTCCTTCCCTGTTCCATTGATCCCTATCAACCCCATCAAAGGCTCTGTGAGCTTTGAAGGGACCAGCAGGACTGGTCCTGGTGGATGAGCAGGCACTGCAACTTTTCTTATCAAACGGGGGATGCAGGGCAGCGTGGCTGACAAGTTTTCATTTCTCCCAAAAATCTATGAGCTGGAGCCAGTGTTCCGATGAAGCACACTTGAGACTTTTATGCAATGCTAGTGGGGAACATCCCTGCAACCATGAAATGTAAAAGAGAACAATGTGAGCCCTTTGAAATAAACTCCGTACTGAGTGGTGAAACAAACAACAAAAGTGACTGTCATAGGTTTAAGCCAAAAATACACAAAATAATATTTTTCAAGTCTGTGATAAGGTCTCATTATAGACCAGCAGCACAGGTGGAAATGTTTTAGAAGTGCTTCCCATAACTGCAGATCAGAGGAGTGCAGTGTTCCGCGGGAACTTTAAACACTGTCTGAGACAGTATTGTTTCAGATCAGCCACATTCTCATGAGGTCCACTGTTAATTCACTGGGCATTTCTGCTACATGTGAAATACTTGTGTGACAAAGTGAAGAAATGTGAGTAACTAAATAAATGCATTTTTTCTTTAAAAGATAACTTTCACCCCTCATTCCCAATTTTTCCCTGTACATGTTATTATCTAAATCCCAGCTAGGATGAGGATTCCATGTGTATACAACAATTTAATCCAGAGACAGCTGCTGTTACAAATTCTTTGTCATAATGCCTAAAATCATAAAGCCTATCATTAGGTGGCTTATGCTGCTGTGATATCACCGTCACTCATAGAAAAGTTTAAAAAAAAGATAAATATATAGATAGAGCAGACTACAACTAACAGTGGTTTACACAGTTCTAACATTGTCTTGCTGATCGCCCAAAATTAAGCTTATAGTACAAAAGCATAACTAATAATATGAACAGCTGACCATTTCTTTATCTTGATTAAATAAGTAATTTTACTAGTGGAAACAATGTTTACATAATGAGAAATGATCACTTTTAATGAGTCACTATTAAAAAGATCATTTAAATCTGCAACTAATAATTGATGTGTTGGAATACTTTCATGGTTTTAGTAATTTGTTGTAGTAACAGTAACAATTAATACGTTTTAGTAATTGTTTCAGTGACTTTATCACAAATTGTGTTAAATTGGATATTTAAAGGATGCTTTTTTTTAAAAATTCACAGACAAATAGATTCGTAACTGAGAAAGAGTCTGAAACAGAACTGTTGTTCTAGCTTTTTCCTAGTCACAACTCCTGCTGTTCCTACATCCACAGTTTCATTCATTTACATTCACAAATGCATGAACTCATCTGTTCTCACAGCAGCCCAGACTTGTAGTCTCCTCAGTGCAGGACAAAGTCATATCTCCTTTTGGTTCACACATACGGTGTCAGCAGTCACATGTTAACGAGGATTTATGGGAACATAAACTAAACCTGCTCCTCCCCATCTCTCTTTCTGCCTTTTCTTGCTTGCAGTAGCAAAGCTGTAAAGAACTGTGTTTGTATTTCATACTTCTCATGGGTCCCTTGTTTTAAAATTTATTTTTTTTGCATAAAATGTCCGTTCCTGGAGAAGTGTGCACATGTGGAGAGATGGACTTGAGAGAGATAGAGGTGTGAGCAATGACACGGCCTTTGATGTTAAAATGGTATTTAGAGGTTAATGAGGCTGTGAAGGAAATGCCACATATTCGCTTTTTTTGTTGCTGCCTCTTTCACTCACAGACACAGACAACAGACACACACACACACACACACACACACACACACACACACACACACACACACACACACACACACACACACACCTCTGTAGCTCATAAAAGGGTTGGATTAAAAAAAAAATCTCTATGTAACAATTAGAAAGTAGCAACAAATTTAAGTATACAGGTATGTGGGCACATATATGAATACTTCTCTGTTCCACGAAAGGAAGAAAGGAACGTTGAGGCAATAAATGATGAACGGACTGGTTTTTATATAACGCTTCTCTGCTCAAGCAGTCAAAGAACTTTACACAACATCTCTTATATACAAACATTTTTTACCTTTTTTTTCTGTGTCCCAGCGCTTTCTAACATTCATACCCTTATGCTAGAACATCAAATACTAGTTGGCCTTCTCTACCTCCTGAATTACAGCCACCCAGGAAATACATTTTAAAAGACCAAAAAAAAAAAAAAGTAAAGTAAACTAGGGCCCATCAGATCATATGTATTGCAGTGTTGCAGAGAGGTGCAGAGACTGAAGTTGTAGTAGAACGGGCAATATCCTTATAATTCTGTTTAGAACCACAAGATGGTGTAGTGAGTCAGTGTGGCTTCCAATCTGCCACAAGTCCAACATAAGTACTACTACTACTACTACTGATACTACCATTACTACTACTACTACTGATACTACCACTACTACTACTACTACTGATACTACCACTACTACTACTACTACTAATAATAATAATAATAATAATGCATTTTATTTAATGGCACCTTTTAAGGCACTCAAGGCACTGATCTTGTAAGCAACCCTTACAACAAATTAAATGCCCAAATCAGACCATGCATAAAATAACAGTTGAAAAAAATGTCAATACTGAGGAGGCTGAGGCCCGTGGTTCATGGTGTCATGGTCACAAATACCTACTTAAAGTAGGTTTAGGTCTTGCCACAGCGGCCATTGTTGTTCCTGCAGCTTGCTGGGCCATCTCAAAGCTTTTCGGCTGAAGTGAATGTCCTGCTGTTCTCTGTGGGATCATGCTTATTATCTACTTCAGCCCTACTGTAATTGTGGATGTGGACCAGTTACCTTTTAAAAGCAGTAATAATGTTTCCAGTTTTCCACCTGTCTTAAATATGCTGCGCTTTCCTTTATATTCAATTTTATTTTGCCCCTCACCCCCCAACCAGTCATGGCAGAAGACTGCCCCTTCCTGAGCCTGGTTCTGTCGTAGGTTTCTTCCTGTTAAAAGGGAATTTTTCCTTTCCATTGTTGCCTGGTGCTTGCTCATAGGAGATCACTTGATTTTTTTTTTTCGGATTTAATTTAATTGACTTGAAATTAAAAACCTAAAAATTCAGGTCATGGGTTCACATAGTAGAGAGCACTACATTTGTTAACTGCACTTTAAAAAAAAAGAAAATTGCAGTTTTTTTTAGTTCTCCCTACTACAAAAACCACAAATAAAAGCAAGGCAGTTAGCGGCAAATCAAAATAAAGATAAAATATACAAATGTGTGTTTATTTTATATATAAATATAAAATAAACACATTTTTAAAAAATCCACTACTACGCTGTGTATTTACTTCAGTGAACACTTGTATGTTTTTGTGGTAGAAGAATATAAATTGTCTAAATATGCGAGTTTTTTTTTTCTTTTGGCAGCACGGTGGCATGGTGGTTAGCACTGTTGCCGCACAGCAAGAAGGTCCTGAGTTCAATTCCACCATCAGGCCGGGGTCTTTCTGTGTGGAGTTTGCATGTGTTTGTGTGGGTTCCCTCCGGGTACTCCGGCTTCCTCCCACCGTCCAAAGACATGCAGCTTGTGGGGATAGGTTAATTGGATAAACCAAATTGCCACTAGGTGTGAATGTGCGAGTGAATGTGAGTGTGAATGGTTGTCTGTCCCTGCCTGTTGGCCCTGCGACAGACTGGCAACCTGTCCAGGGTGTACCCCGCCTCTCGCCCTATGACAGCTGGGATAGGCTCCAGCGCCCCCCGCGACCCTGAAAAGGATAAGCGGAAGCGAATGGATGGATGGATGTGAGTTTTTAAATTAGCACTGAAATAATAATACTGTGTACTGTGAAAAAAAAAAGAGACTCAAGTTGTTCAAATGCAAAAACGACTGACGGGTATGATGTAAGGTGAGAGTGAATTTGTAAATTTGTACTGCAACTGTTTGTTTTTCTAGAAAGACAAAGCCAGAGATTAGGGAAGACTGTATAATGTTAATTATTAAAGGAGCGAGAGAGAATAAGCAGAACTTAACCACATGAAAGTGGGTCAGGGTTACATGCAGCAGAAGGTTTAGATTTCTTAATAAATCCAGATCGTTCATCACACAGTGAATATTATTAAAACCCTAAAATTGTTACACTGCTCAGGGCAGTAAAACAGAGGTGGAAAAAATGTCAGGTAGTTGAAGGATGCTGTTTAGAGAAAAGGGTGATTTCCTTTTCTTTATGTTGGTGCAATTCTGAAGTAAAACAGTGAGAAGTTTTCAAAGGTGCAAAAGCATCCAGCAGACTGTTTATTCCATTCTAGTAGTAAAACCCTGTGATGGAGAATCATTTATCTATTCCTGTCTATCATCAGGAAGACTGTCAACTTCACTGAAGAAGCCAGTTATATCAGTGTTCTTAATGTTGAGGAATAACGCTAGAACAACAGATAAGATCGAGAACATTAGAGTTTCTCATTAGAGTTATCAAGACATGATGCAAGGACCCTTGTATAGTATTATAGTATTAGTATTAGTGATAGTGTCCATATGTATATTAATCACTCATCAAAATAACATTTGGGGACAAAGGATAAACTGAGTTAGCAAACTCAGGGGGTTCAGTCAAAGTCCTTATTTAGCTACCTACTGTAGCAAGTACAGTGGGTGGTGCTATTATTATAAATGAGTAATTTCACTGAAGTATTGATCATTTTTATTCCACCCCGGTCTACATAAAAGTCACATTATTTGGATTTTTGCAGAAAGTCTTCACATAAATTGCTCCATAGTGTTGCGTCTCATTTTAGTTAAGGCAGGGGTGGGGAACTCCGGGCCTCGAGGGCCGGTGTTATCCAAAATAACAGATGATTCAAATGGCTAAATTACCTCCACAGCATTTCTTGTAGTTCTGCAGAGGCCTGGTAATGAACTAATCATTTGATTCAGTTGTGTTGACCCACGGTGATATCTAAAACCCGCAGGACACTGGCCCTCAAGGCCTGGAGTTGCCCACCCCTGGGTTAGGGTGTAGGTTACAGAGTACCTGTGTAAAGAGGTTCCACAACACACTTACTGTGGGTGACATTACCTTGGTTTGCAAGAACACTGAGAAAGTTTGGAGTAACTTTTGACCGGGATATGACTTTCAGCATGCTCATTAAACAAATACCCAGGATTTCCTTCTTTAAGAGGAATTTTTTTTTTAATGAGAAACATCCTGCCTCAGTGTGATGCTGAAAATCTGGTTCTTAGATTTAAAACAACTTTATTTTTTTTATTGCAGGACTCTAAAAAATACAGGCTTAATTGTCGTTCCGGGAGTTTCAAAAAGTAGAAATAGAAACAAAGCCTGCTGTCAAACCCTTCTCCACTCCCATCTCATCCATTATCCAGAAAGAGCTCTGTTAGCTCCTCTTTAAGCCAACCTTCTTATGATTCCTCACAAACATGTGGTTTCAAACAGCAGGTGGGTGGGACTTTCCTGCTCACAGTTAGAGATATGTTTCTGAGATTACAATACTGGAGATAACCGTTGTCAGTGACATCTGGAACAGCTTCCCATAGTATGAGAGGCAGGGTACAACCTGGACAGACCACAAGTATGTCGCAGAGAAATTTCGCACCTATGGGTGATTTAGAATCACCAATTAACCAAACCCCACTAAGCGCACGTCAGGACCTTTTTGCTGTGAGGCAACAGTGCTAATCAAACGTTTCGAACAGAGTTGGAATTTCTTTACCTGAATGATTGAAAATGCATCAAGACATATTTATCATGAGAAGCATTACTGCAACAGTATATATTGTATATCAGAAAATAAAAACAAGCAGGTCTTCCTGAACCTTTTCTATCAGTAGTGCACAATGTATTGCACTAAAAACTGCAGTCTATCTTTAGTGTGGTTGAACAGAAGAAGAACTGATATGGAAACACTCCAACGCAAATGTTTAATTCACATGCGAGATCTCACACTGTATATTCTCAGAACAGCTGAGTGGGTTTCTTTTCAGCTATATGTACAGATAAGGTGATAAGGATGCTGCTGAATGTAGGTCATCGTGACACAGGTGTGGATGTGGTGAAATAAACCTAACAGCCATCTTGTCTTTACATAAAACATAACAGTTTTCAATCCTCTGAGTAAGGTTTATGTAAGCGGCACAAAAATACAAGATGTGTGATAAAATGCAGCATTATTGCATATCGTTATTATTATTATTGCCCCCCCCCAAAAAAGTCCAGGGAGGTAGCCAATAAGATCAGCTGTTAGCATTGATTAGGCCCCTATTGCCCTGTTGTAAAAGCTTCTTCACCCTGCTGCCATGTGGCAAGAGGTACCGGAGCATTTGGTCCCTCACTGCCAGACTGCAAAAAAGTTTCCTCCCCCAAGCCGTCAGACTCCTAAAAAATCAGTGACTGGACTGACACACACACACATACGTTTATACATGTCACTACCTCAAGCATTTATCTGTACAGTGTCATGTACACACAGACTTTCATACATCAAGGTTTTTTTGCACAACCTACTGTCATTGTTGCACCTTTCTATTGCACTGTTGTGTCTGCAATGTGTTGTATCTGGTGTTGCACGTTATGTAGTCCTGTGTTGATTGTGCCTTATAAGTTATATGTAGCAGCATAGTGTTGGAGGCGCACTGTCTCGTTTCACTGTGTACTGTACCACTGCACATGGTTGAAATAACTATAAAGCCACTTGATGGCTCCTGCACTCATAAAATCTATAAAATTCTATAATCATATGTTCCTTATCGCATATCAGTTGTTTGTGTGCGTTTTGTGGCCCAAAAATTCATAAATTATATGTAAATAGGAAGTCTGTAAAATTTCTGAAATTACACTGTGACTGGAAGCAAGGTTTGTTTTCACTCTTTCAGTTATAAATTTCACATTTATTAAAAAAACTAAACAGGCTCAGTTCTGGTTAGTGGATTTCATTAATAAATAAAATTCTGTATTCATGTAATAAGAAGATTTCAGTCAGCTGAGTGGGTGTCATCGTTGAGTTCAATCACATAATATTTCTTTAGTAGTTACACAGCAACTCCATGCCATGAGGCCGCCCTTCCAACAGACGCATTTATTCTGCCCTCCAGCTCTTGCTTGCATGCAGTATAGCAGCTGATCAGGCCACTTCAAGCATTTCTCTCTGATGGAGGGATGTACTCCAGACCAAGATAAGCAAATATCTCCTCCTCTGATGTAGCTCTCAGATATTTATTCTGTACAAAAGGAAAACAAGTATGATTCCATCACGCCATCTTCATTTAATTAAGCTGAAATATGGCAGGTATAATATGCACTTAAAGGAAGAAGTAGAAGTAGTTGGCATGGGGAAAAAAAAGGGGGGGGGGCGCTATTCTTTTCTCAAGGGTTCACATGAGAAACTGGAAGTGTAGTGAAGGGTTAATGCGTTTAAGAGAAAAGAGAAAATTAATACTGAACAGAACTGAGTCCCACTTATTGTTGTGGCCCTCCACAACAGACCCAATCACTCACGCAGCCACTTTTAACTTAAAAGACTTTCCTGTTAGAAGCAAAATATCTGTTGCTTCTAACAGTTTGTGGAGTGATTTCTATGTAAAGAGCATGGGACAAACTTCCTGCTGAAATCCAAATGTGTTTCTTAGTGCTCAGAGTACTGCCTTGCCTCAACAGTACCTCAAGAGCACTTCTGCTCCCGGCTTCAACAGTGAGCAAAACTAATAAAGTATATCTTAAAAATAGACTCTCTAATCGCTAACACTACAAAAAAAAGGCTTTATTTTTCTTTTTTCGATTTACCTGTGTATTATCAAATAGGGCGTGACTGCTCAGAGACATGTTCTTCTCGTGCCCAGCCCAACGTCGCAGCTCCCTCTCAAACAACTGCACAGACAGAAGGAACATTAAACAATATAACATAGAAAAGCAGGGGAAAAGAAGGAGGCAATAGATTTTTGAAAGAGGACAAAGGTCAGGCGTGAGCGATCACCTTGGATCCGGTCCAGCCCAGCACAGCAAAAGCAAATTGACTGATCGGAGAGACCACCAGGTCCACCCTCACAGCTCTCCATATTTTGTGTGATGCAGCTTCCATCTGGTAATTCTTACTGAGCTCACATAATTGTTGATCTGTGTCCGCCTGCATGTGAGGTCTGAGAACGTCCTTGGTTTTCAGATCATTTTGCTCCTCTGGCTGCGTGCTTTCTTGTTCCTTCCCTTTGGTCAGTTTAAAGATGGAGAAACACCTTTCAAAGCGGTCCATGTTGGAGGCAGGCCGAGCAGGGCCATCCTTCGACTCCAGGTATGAGTTTCTGGTAGTTTTCTGGTACAACAGAAATCCCTGAATAGACAACAACCAGTTCAGATCAGAAACATATGTCATATAGAGTTGTGAGGAAAGTTTATATGAACTCATCATGGACCTGAATTCACTGCAATTTAGAGCTTTCAATTACTGCTTTGAAATATTCTTTTTCCAGGGTGAATGATTGCATAGCATGCATTGGATGCACAAGTTTAAATGCATTTTGAATTTTCTAAAATCCAGAGGGACAGAAATTACATATACAGACTCAATATATACACACATACAGTCACTTAAAGCTTTAAATAAGTGGCGCTGAAGGTTATACAATTTCTTTTCATGACTTAACTACAACTGATACTTTCTCTTTGGAAGCATAAAAAAAGTTCTTGTTTAACATTATTTATTGGACTGAAAACAGTGAGAACAACCTGAAAGTAATATAAATTCTGAATGGAGAGTGTAGATTTCCACAGATTGTGAAGGTCTTTTAGAGCCATTTCTGAATAATGGCAGATTCCAAGATCATCAGTTCAAACAACTGTATGCAAGTACAAATTTTCAGGCGTGTCACCACTTTTCCAAGATCTGGAAAAGACAAAAAACTGTCACCAGGAAACTGTTTAGGATGATTAGGAACAATCCAGAAACCACTAAGGCTCAAGCCTGTCATTCACTGGAAACAGCTGACCTCTGACCTTGGGTTCAAGGTCACCAGGATTCAAACATGTCCCAGATATTTAGCAGATGCACCTTTAACATCAATTTGATACTCATATGTCACCTCATTATCAAGTTATCACATTCAGACTTGGGTGTGTACGCCGCCTGCACACCAGGGTGACAACAATATCCCAACAGCCCTTTACCACTGAGAAGTAAAAATCTGAATCAGAATAGTTTAACCCCAGAGGAAACTGTGTTGATTTGTTTCAAAGGATTTAATAAATATCAATTGTCTCAAAAGTTACCTGTGATTCCAACCAGGCGACCACTTTAGGCATCAGTCCCACCTCTTTGCCTTCCTCTGGGTGCGTTATCAGAAAGTCAACATCGTGGCCCGTCAGCTTCCCTCTGTGAAAATACCACAGTTCATATTTCTATTAAATTGCAGAGGGCAAGTTTAAAATTTGATTTGGTTCAAGAAGTGTTTACTTGTTGCTCATGTAAACTTTTCTTTAAACCGCATGTATAAACAATAATTTTGACAATATAGAGCTCATTGAGATATTTTAGGCTGTGAAGATTTTGAATGTGCTATCAGATGTACTGTGTGTGAATATTTGTGCTTTCACCTCCTGAATCCTCCGGTCAGAGCAACCTGTGATCCTGTTAGCACAGAATCGACGGCTTTCTGCACAATCTCCCCGATGGCATCTGCTTCTGCTTTAGTGACCGGCTCGTTGAGGTCATCGTAGTGCTCAAGACCTTGATGATGAGAGTGTATTTATTATTTTTTAACAATTTTATTTTATATAGGACACGAGGAAAGGCGAATTACCAAGCAACCAAGTGAACACATTATTTTTTTTAATGCTACACAATGTCATTAAAAAGTATTTCCCAACTTCCACACTTTCTCAGATATCTTTTTTTCATATTTATCATTAACAGGTGATTGCGACTGTCAAAAATCTTTAATATTAGACCCATCTCATTTTGTCAATTTTGATGATCCCCAAGACTTTTAAGACAATATTATGTGGACTGATGAGCTGAACTGTTTGGGGGTTTTCATAAAAAGATCAGTCAAACATGGAGGTGGTAGTGTGACGGTATGGGGCTGCTTTGCTTCTCCAGGACCTGGACTGACCAAAATTGATGGAACATGAATTCTGCTCTCTACCAGAAAACCCTTAAAGATAATTATGACAGCAAGTCTGTGAACTCTAAGCATGCTGCAGTGCCTTCAATCCAACTATTGTGTAAATTGCTACCAGATTATTTAAAAAAAAAAAAAAATCATGCAAAGAATTGCTTTTTGTTTTAAGATTAATGTTTAATTTGTTTCTCACCTCTCCTCCAGATTGCACCAAGCCTCCAGCTGGCCAGACAGGAACTTCCAAACAAGTCTGGCTCTTTTTGGCCTCCTTTTATGGTAAAGTTCCTGGGAGGGAATGTGCCAGGTGTAGTGTGAAGTGGGGGTGGGGTTTCGTGAGGTTAAAGAATCTGTTGATGTTGAACGTTTACGGAGTTGGGGAATTTTCTAAATATATTTGTGTTAATGTTCTCACTGTTAACTTATCATCATTATATTTGAATGACAGATTGAGCATTGTTATTAATTTGTTTAATTCTTAATTGCTATTTAATTCAAGGAGTGGGAGGAGCCACTGGTTATTTAGTCAGGGGTTGCAACTCCTCTTGAGGACTAGTGTGTGCCGAGTCACGATGGAGAGTGGACCATAGTGGCTTACATCAGGGGCCGTCGTTACAGTAGTTTAGCCCACTGCAGAGTTGTTTCTATTTAGATTAGGATCATATTTCAGGTGTTATTTGTTTCTCAGTAAAGTCTTTCTAGTTTGAGTTTTTATTTAGTTGGCTGTACTGTATTTGTGACACATTAGATCACGGATGTGAAAGAAAGAATAAAAAGACTGGACTGTCAGCTTTCAGAACAACATATTGCTGCCTCCACCACTCGGTCAACCCTCGGAAGAATGTCTAGCCACACATAGTGTCATGCCCTGCAGCTCAAGGTCAGTTGGGTTATGCAGCTGGATAAAAATTTTAAAAAAAAGGAGTGTCCTAGTCAAAGTCTGGACTCAAGTCAGATTGAGAAATTCTGGCTTGACCTTAAAACAGGCTGCACATGCTTGCAAACCCTCCAATGAGGCTAAATTGTTTTTTATTTTGAAAAGACATGTGACCCAAAATCCCCCCCCTCATGTGTCAAAAGAATTACACATGATGACTTTTTTAAGGCCCATTCAAAAGAGAGACAGACACACAAAGACACAAGAACTCACCTGACATGCTTTAACTTGGACACCAGTTAAATAGGAGACAGCATACATACGCCTGCTCTGATCATTATAGTAAGAAAATTATCCCCATTCAAGAATGCCAAGAAAAACAAAGCTAACAAACCTGATTTTTGTGCTCGATTCAGTGTTTGTCCTGAATCTCGTAACTGCTCAAGGTTGTATATTCCCTCTCTAATCCATCGGTCAGCAGTTTTGGCTCCAACTCCAAAAATACCAGTCAAAATCTGAAATACATTTATTTAAAAACATTAAGGACAACAGTACATTTGTACCACTTTGGCGCAGGGCCTAAATCGCCCTCCACCTATGTGTTTGCACATGACCCATAGCACACTGATGAGCTAAACACAGTTTTATAGTAAACGTTATTCTTATTTACAGCCCCTCCAAAGAACAACAGAAGGCTCTGTCACCATCTTGCACGTAAGAGATTCAAAGTTTACATGGTTTCAGGACGTACTTATGGTGTGTGTCATATCATTGCTAACTCCTGATCATAGAACAGTGATAAGAGCAGGAAAGTTTAGAGCAAATCAGTATTTCCTAGATTTGAGTTGCTTGATACAAAATCTTTAAATAGTGGATAACATGTTGTGTTACAGGTTGCATAAATAATACTAAGAATGTTAGCCATTAGATTTTTGCTTGCGATTACAAGCCAAATTCACGATCTGTGTACATTAAGCAAAACTGTACAGTGAAAGCAGTAAAACAGTTGATATCATAACAGAAAGTAGCTAAATGCATTCCATTAGAAAATGAAATAACTATATTTTCCTTCAAAGTGGGGTCTATTAAGCTTTTCCTTTTCTGTCATAAAAGCATACAATTACAGTAACAAATTCCATAATATTGTCATCTCAAGCACACAGCTCTGGCTATGAGCACTGCTGAAGCCCCATCCTCCTGCTGTTCAAACCTTCTTTGTGAGGGATAGCCAATAAGAAGAAAGTTGGTCTACAGGAGATAAAACTGGGGTTTTTTTGGCAGAGAATCAAGTATAAAACATTCAATGATAAGTGAGAAATCTGAATTATTCAAAGCTACTCCGGTAAAGTAAGAAAAAAAAAAAAACCCCAAACAAACAAGTTTGCAGCAAAGCAACTGCCGATGCCTGCCCCCAGCATCCAACATCAGCATGGCAGGGATGAAGGCACTTATATTGCTTAGTTATGACAACAGCATTATCATCCTTCCAGTAGAAAAGGGTGCATGCATGGTTTTGCTGAACCAGAAAGACTATCATGAGAAACTTATGAGCCTCTGAAACAAGACCCAGGAAGTGGTTACAGGAAGAGGGTGATAGACTGTCTGAAGCGGTTAGAACAAGAGAATGCTTTTGACCAGACATCATACCACAGGTTGCCAAGGGTAAGCTATGCAGTCTGTATGGTTTACTGAAGATACTAAACAGGATATACATTTAAGATCAATTGTCTGTATGATCAACTCGGTCACTTGTAACATCTCAAATTTTCTGGTCTCAATCCTCAACCCATTGGTAGGCAGACCACCGGGTAGGATATGAAAAATGACAGGTTAGCCTTCTTAGACTGTAAGATTTCCATCAGTAATGGGGGACATTTAAAAGTTGATGTGTATCATAAACCAACGCAAACAGATCAGTATTTAAGGTTTGACTCTCATCATGAACTGGAGCACCTAGTTGGTGCTCCAGTTGATGATGTTATTATTAGTAGTATTATTAGTATTAGTATTATTATTACAGGACGCTAAAACACAGAGCGAACGCCATCACCACAGACAAGCAGCCAGGGAAGCAGAAGAACATCATACCAAGAAAGCCCTGATTAAATGTGGTTATCCCAGCTGGACATTTATCAAAGCTGGAATGTTGTCTAAAGAAAGCTCCTGCCTGCGCCAGAAACTGGTCCACCCCAAGGATTGGGTCCCCCGACACAAACACAGTAAAGTAGTCTACACTGTTAAGTGCCAGAAAGGTTTGCCATGATTCTGAGAAACCAAACAACTTCTGGCTAAGCAGATGACACAAACAGAAGAGCTAACTCGTCAGGCCAGGACTCTGCAGTCTATTCACACCTACAGACCAGTGGACATTGTTTCAATGATGAGGATGTACACATCCTGGACAGGGAGGAATGCTGGTTTGAGCGGGGAGTCAAGGAGGCCATTTACGTGAAAAGGGAAGAACCATCTCTGAATCGAGGAGGGGGGCTAAGGGTCCATCTTTAACCATCTTGCAATCAATGACTTTGATCAGTGTTTGTTGATCAATGGTCATGACAGTTTGAATAATAATTATCAAGAGAGCCCATTGTTTGCCAGTGGTGCTAGTTTCAGGTACTGTGCAAATGTATTGTTTGTAAGGTTGACTTTTTGAGTCAATTGGATGAGTCCGAATGAACAGAAACAACCTTTTGGGAGCTTGAGTTAAAAAGTATTAAGTTAGAAAGGAGAAGAATAATTTTATTTCCTAGTGATAGCTAAGGTGGACCTATTCCCTTTAGATTTTTAACAGCTGCTTTTGAACAAGGGGACACACCTGCAGCAGATTTTAAAATGCCTGAGATACCTTTAGTGCTTTGTACCGCTTTGACTGCTTGGTGGATTCAACCTCACTTGACACTCCATTCTCCAAAACATCCTGCAAGACCAGAGAATTTAAATGAATTTAAACTACATCTTGTTAGGGGGTGAACATGGAATGCTAAAAATTTTCACTTACTTTTATAACTCTAAGCGAGTGTTCTCCAAGACAAGGCAGACCCCTGAGCTGTGACATGCTTATCACCTGTGTGGGGAGCGCCTTCATCAAGGCAGCAGCTCGTCGAAAGGCAACGCCTCGTCCGTCCTCATTATTGAGCTCAGCGTTTTCAGCTAAAAGCGACAAGGCATCCTGAGGCAGAAAATGCAGTTCTGACATATGTGTTAGCTAACATGGCACCTAAAATCAGACTTCTGTGTTTGCTTGGGGTGGGGGGTAGAGGGCTTACAGTCAAGTTGCTGTTATGGTTGTCCAGAGTGGTTCGTCTCTGACAGGCATAGCTGGATACTGAGAACAAAGCAACCTCTGCTTCACTGATCTGCTGCTCCTGGAAGACAAACATAAGGACTTAAAGTCTTCAGTATAACATGAAACCAATGCCTATTTGGTTTAAAATACATGTTGGTTAACTTAAAGCTAGCTTTGGAATGGATAGAGCAGGAATGATTACAGCAGGGTGATGTTAAACTTTTGCAAAAGCCGAACCTCAAATCTGTGGTATGTGCTAGGCTTCATGTCAGGAAAAGCCAGCTTCATGTTTAAACCAAGCCTAAAATGTCAAACTCTTACCAAAAATACATTTTAGGATTATACCAAAAACTCATTGGCTAATAAACCAAATTATCAAACCAAATTGGTGAGGGACATTTAACCAAGTATAGGGTTTTCTGACAGACCATTTTCTTGCTCCATTATTCACTGTTGTCTGAGTGTAAAAATTCTTTGTGGTTCCGAGCTATTGTTCCCATTGCGCTCCCAGAACACTCACAACTTTGGAAATTCTCACCTTGACCTGAGCCTCCCCTGGCTGAGGCCTACAGAGTTTCTCAAACATGCACACTTGCCCAATTTCTTCTTACCATCATACGTGGAAGAAACAAAAATGAGTGAGTGCATCAGAGACATACAAAGTTAAGAGGCTTGTACTCTGTTAGGAAACGCAATTGCCTGCCTGCACTGCTAAACCAGAAAGCATTGCAATTTCTGACTGAGGAAACTTACAACAGTTTCTGAGGAGGAAACCAGGGAAGTCCCCAGGAGTGACAAAGAAAGCAAGAAAAGCAAGAAACAGTTGATTCAATTTTCCTTCAATTCAATTCAGTTTTATTTAGCATCACAACAGTAGTTGCCTCGAGTTAGTGAATGAGTAAAAGAGAATGCCAGATGATAGGCATAAGTGGAGGACAAGAAAAAACACATCTGTCAGTCTGAGACGGGAAACTCGCTACAGTTATTTTTTAACAAATAAGTGTAATAGTAAACTTCAATGCAGATGGAAGCCTTTTTAATGAATGCGGTTTATTAAAAGTAGCTTTGTCAGGAGTAGTCACTAGATGTACCAGTTTCTGCTCATTTTGAATTTGATGGCAGCAACATATGTCAAAAAAATTTGGACAGGGCTGTGTTAACCTCTTCCAGCAAAAGACCAGCCGATGGACTTTTGTAAGAGGAGTGTTGTTGTATTGTTGTGTGACATAGGATTCTACCGACTCAACAGTCTCAGGTTTTAGATTCGTTTCATGTGAAAATGTTTTCAACCGGTGAAAGGTCTTGACTGCAGGCAGATCAGTTCATAGCCATGCTGCTGTAACTGATGCAGTATGTTGTTTAGCAGTCGAATGTGAACTATGCAAGACCTTCACTGAAAGTAATTTTACCATCTCACTGCTTTTTGTCCTGACATAAAAAATAGATGTGAGCCTTTCTAAATTCTATTTATAACTTACCATCTTCTAGGAGTTCACTCAGCTAATGATGAAAAGCTTAATAGACCTCATAGTTACTGATCACAGACCAATGAAACAAAAAGTCATTTTTGGCAATTTAGTGCCAATAGACAAATAAAGCTGTATAAAGACTGATGGTGTCAGTGTGCAATTACTCCCTAATGGCAAGTAAAAGCATTTTACGCATGATATGTGATTTGTCACTTTATCATCAGAGAGTTGCTCTATAGGTTACTATTACTATAAACTGCTTGTATTTATTTAGTACATATTTACATTCAGTGAAAACGCTTATTACTACAAAACAAAGCCTCAGATTTTCGGTTTTGATATCATGGATGTGTAAAATGAAAATGTACCTGTAGTTTATGTCTATGTGTTATCGCCACAGGATGACCAGCACGCATGCTCTCTGTGTACCAGCTGACGTCCAGGAGGTGAACTCTAAGGCTCTGACCCCTTCCCTGAGACTCTAGCCACGTCCTGACCTCAGTGCCACAGTTATTCTCAGAAATAACATGTGTGACGCTTTCACTGTGGAGAAACAGCAGATTAAAAGTAAAATGACTCATACACTTTGGATTCTGTGAAGGAGGGTTTGAAGACAGATATTTACCTTAATACATTTCATTTTAGGCTTCCGCGAAACCTACATTTTCCAAGTTATACTTGCTTTCCCATGACATTTGTATCAGTGGATTAGTGACACTTCTCACCTGAACACGTCCGCCACCTGAAAGCCTTTATTTCGTCCGAGTTGAGAGAGGAAAAATCTTCGGCTGGCTCCCATTTTTCTTTCCAACAGGAACAAAACAACTTGAGAGAACTTGTTTGGTACCTTATGTCCACTGCTGTCACTCACAGTATTCCCAGCATCCGAGGGGAGAGTTTTTCTTCGTTTTAGTGGCACCATGATACACAACAAAACTATTTAATAGAACTCACTGGGTAGTTTGACACCAGGTCCGGTTCACTTTAGTCACAAGTTCATGACGTTTGTTCTCCTAGCTTGTCTTTTTCTTTAACTATTTTTGATAAAATTACAATTTCAAAACATACGACACTGTAACCTACATGAATGAACCTGACTCACTGGGTGAGGTTTAAGCTGTGAGGTAGGTTTGTGGGGAAAGAACCCCAATTTCAGTAACAAACGTGAATGACTGCGACCGGATGCAGCTGTGTAGCTGCTGCACCGGTGTCTCGTCACTCCTCCTGTGCACTACCAAAATAATTCCGACTGGAAATGATCGGAAGGTTTTATTTTATTTATAAGACCTCCACGTCAATTATTATTATTATTATTATTATTATTATTATTATTATTATTATTATTGTTGTTGTTGTTGTTGTTGTTGTTGTTGTTGTTGTTATTATTATTATTATTATTATTATTATTATTACTTGGTTACGCAGTGTGTATCCATCTCACCCTATCTGTTCTATATTCTTCTATTACACCAGCTCTTTCCATATCCTCCTTTACTACATCCATAAACCTTAGTGGTGTACGATACTAAAAAATTTGGTATCAGTCCAGTATCAAATAAGTACAGGTACAGCATTGTTGATACTTACCGGCGCTTTTAACGCATAAAGGCTGTTTATATAGGAGACATCAGTTTGATATGATTTATGAAGTGAGTCTTCAACAATTTGCAACTTCTGAATCCATTTTAATGACTGCTAAATAAACTAAACTGTTTTGTTTTGTTGTGCCTCCATAGTCCTAAGAAATCTAGAGTAAAAGTCTGAAAATAAAAGTCTGAAAATTTCACTGGTCTTTATTACCATCAGAATGAATCTGAATCTGTAATTTTTGACATATACTGGCTAGTCAGAATATGAAAATAAATAAATAAATCAAGCAGTCCTGTCCCATAATTGAGCACACACTAATAAAAAAAATTGCAGTAACAAAATAGTGGGTTGAATTTCTCTATTAAATGAATTTTCACAGTTCTTTTAAATTTCACAATACTTCAAAATAACGTACATTTATATAGTTCGTATGAAATTAGAGAAGGTTTAACTGAAAATGCTCTAAAAGACTTATTTGATTATTTGAGATAGAGTGGCCTAAGTCTCGAAAATGAAAAATATGCATCAATTTATCAATATTATTTTCTCCCTTCCCTCTAGTACCTTCTACAAACTTCAGAATTGTGTTTTATTTGGATTAAACTATATCTACTGATATTTTTTTTATTTTGTGATACTATTGTTGTATTTGCTCAATCCAGTGTGAAAACAAAAAAGTAAAACCAACCAAAAGAAATAAAAACTACAATTAGCTGCTGAATCATTTCGTTTATCAGTTGTAGCTCAGGCTAGGGCAAAAGGAAGCGCAAAGATTTGATTGATTATACATAGAGCAATCAGTAGAGAAATCTCTTTTCATAAGTAAAACAAAAACAAAAACAGAGGAACGTAGATTGGGTTACTATATGAGTTTATTTGATCATGTCACCATTTTATGGGATTTTAATGTGACATAGCGTGATTTTGCACATAGATACGAATACCAGTGTTTAGGTTTAGGTTAGTTGTTACAACTGTTAGCTGTTAGTTCTGAAAGCATAGCACTCATTTTATTCATATTTCTGGACTGTCTTTGTTGTATGTTTTAGTTTCATAATCCACCTAAAAAAAGTTCAGGAGGGAGGCCAGTTGCACACCTGGATCCTCATCCTGTTGTTATGTCTGCTGAACATGGATCACTCTGCTGTTTTGTTTAAGGGAAATGGCGTCCCTGTCATGGCAAAGATAATAAAAATAATTTAGATTTTTGAATAGAAATCCTTAATACTTAAATAGCTTAACGGTGCAAACATGTTAGCATCAAAATATTTTCAAGATGCGGGATTAGTAAAGGATATTTTATCTCGTAATATTTCAGGATTGGTTTTGTTATGCTTGGTGACTTAATGTCACTATTAAACTTAAATAAATGCAAACTAAAGTAATAAAAGCACTCTGAAGCCGTGCTGTACACGGTGTTCTCAGTCCTCTCTCCTCCCACTCAGTGTGATCATATGATCGCAGACTCTTAATCCACTTCCTCAAACTTTAAAACTACCAGTGTGTCCGGTCCAGCCGGATCACGCTCATTTTCCAGCAAGCCTCCCCTGTGCAGGAAAGCAAAGCTGTTGAACGGCAGCGGTGGCTTCGTGTAGCACCAGGCCCGGCGCTGTGGTGTCTCAATGGCAGACCTGAGGATCAGAGCTGGTGCGACCAGAAGCCCACAGAGAGGAGGCGGACACTTCGCTGCCTTGTCCCTGGTCACGCTGCTGTCTGCGCTGCTCACCTGCGGCGTCAGGTGTGCAGAAAGCGACAAACCGAGCAACATTATCCTCGTGCTTGTCGACGACCAGGATGTTCAGATAGGTGGGATGGTGAGTGAATTCACTCTAGAAATATACAGCCTGTCATTCGTGTCGGTTCCTCAGAGACTTGACAGTTTCTGTAGTGAGGTCATGCAGTGCGCATACTGTTTGAAACGTCCCGTTTATGGTCACCTGATACTGAGTTTAGACAAACACACGCTCTATTTTCTTTCTGTTTTGCGGGCTAGCTCTCAGATTTAACCTCCTCGGTGCTTTGAACCTGTTAATCAGTTAGTTGAATAGCTGAACTGTCTTAGATGATGAAAGAATTACAAGAATTGTGGGAAGTTTATGACTTTTGAGAAAGACGGGCTGGATATATAAAAAAATAATAAAATTGAGCAAATAAAACTAACAATTAAAAAATGCAATATATGCGAATTTATTAAAGATACAAATGTGCGGTCACAGTATTGATCTGAGACTGAACTTAAAGGTCATTTTTGTGATTAGTTTGTACATATGTGTTAACTAAAAGTTTCATCAAAGGTGCTTGCTGGGCTGGTGTGAGGCGACAGTGCACGAGTGTGCCACCCACGCTCTTCATACATTTTTTTTTCATTTGTCAGGCGTCATTGGAAAAAACAACGTGTTTTTATGAGTTGCAGCGTTAAATTGTGGCTACAGTATCTTGTGGTACAAGTTTGTATTACACGAAACTACAGCCAGGCCCGAGGGCCTAGGACCTTCAGTTGATATCTATTCTACACAACATGCGGATGTTTTCTACATGAAATAATAGCATTTTTTTATGAAATTTTGTTAGGACCTACTTGGTTTTGGAATTAATCTATTTGAAACTCTGGAAGTTACGACAAGTGTTTTTAACCTAAATGTTAAGTTCAGCTTCTAACATGCTTGGAAAGCAGATGGGTTCTGAAACAATTGCTCAGTTAACTCTATTGCTGTTTCAAGTCCTACATCTGTTCCTGTGTGTATTTTTGCTTATAAGTGACGTGCAACCTTAAAGGTCCCTCCAGTATAAGCACATTTATGTTTGCAATATTTTGCTCAGAATTGAAAGCATATTTGGGTTTTTTTTAAAAAGGAGAAATCTGGAATGCACTTAATGTATTTTCAAAAGCTGGTACCTGTTCTTATTAGGTCCTGTGAAATTCTTTACCAGATGTTTGGAACCACCAGATATTTGAATAATCCACAAAGATCCATTCACAGAAAAATGGTCAGCTGATCAAGTGTTTAGCTAAAAGAGATTACTTTATGTGCCTTTCTAGTAGATGTTTCGACAATAGCTAATACTGTCATAATGTTTTGAGTTTGTGCTTGTAGCATCTATTACTTCTCCAGTACTGTCATTATGGTGTGAGTCACTTTGTCTGTTTCTATTGCACAGACACCAATGAAGAAGGCAAAAGCCTATATAGGAGACGAAGGAGCAACATTTGTGAATTCTGTGAGTATCTTATGCAGTACATATACTTTTACTAGACTACATTTCACAGGGAGACATTTATTTTATTACATTATATTTTCCGACAGTTGTAATTACTTGTAGATTGAAGTGTCACACAATAAATCACATTACAAGTTTATGAAACAATATATGTTGGTGAAAATTAAACCACTGGTTCCCAAACGTACTTATTATGACTTCCTTTTACAAGTGTCTATTTGGGGAATCCTGTCATTTTTCAGATGTGAGCAGTTTGACTAAGAAAGAAAAATTCTTTTCTTGAAGTGTCAGAACAATTGGTGGGAATCACAGACAAATACAATATATAATATTCTGATATGTTGCCCATGGTAACGAAGATATTATGATAATAATGAATCAGATACATCAAATCTGCAAAACCACATACATTGCAAGACAATAATCAAAGATGTGGCACAAGATGTGTGTATGAAAGCAAAACTCAAATGTTCTTGAAGCACTGTTTGCACCAGTGATTACACAATAAATGAGTCGCATATCCTCCTTTCTGCTGTCACGCTTCTCTCCCTCCCCCTTTCCCCCTGTTCTCACTTCCTCCTCCTGCGAAGTTCACAGTCACGCCACTGTGCTGCCCCAGCAGGAGCAGTATTTTGACAGGTCGATACCCTCACAATCACGAGGTGAGAAACAACTCCCTCAATGGGAACTGCTCCAGCCTTCAGTGGCAGAAAGGCCCCGAGGCAGAGGCCTTCCCCACCTACCTCAACAAACTGAAATACCAGACATTCTTTTCTGGGAAATATCTTAACCAGGTTTGTACATGTATATACTTTTATAAGCATTATACACGTCCAAATGCTTCCAAACTTCAAAACACACAGGCAGTACAATGAATACACCGTGCTTACGACTGATTTTTTTTCTGTTCTAAATGTTGAAATATTGTTGGGAGCCCAACAGTGTTTGTGTTGTGTTTTCATTTTATTCACTCACGTATTTGGCAGAGACTGTGACATATCACAGTCAGCAGATACAGCTAATGGAGATACACACGTCCCACAAGGTGACTCGGCAGTGATCGCTGACTCATTACAAAACAGTATTCTGCAGGACTGTCAGTATGAAGCCCTGAAGATGCTTGTTACAGCATTTCTCTTGAAGCCGACTGAGCTAACTGCACCTTCTACTTTCAGTATGGTAGCAAAGCAGCAGGAAGTGTTGGCCATATTCCACCTGGCTGGGACCAGTGGCATGCACTGGTGAGTCACAAGTAACATGTACATGCACAATTTCTCCTAAGTACTTCTGTCATGACACCTTTTGCTGCACTTACAGGTGGGAAACTCTCAGTACTACAACTACACTCTGTCAGTCAATGGGAAAGAAGAAAAGCACGGTGACAGTTACGAGGACGACTACCTCACAGACCTCATAGTGAGTAGTAATCAGACCCTCAGATTTGAAGTGGAGGGAGTTCATTACGTGGTTTATGTGGTTGATTTATCTTTGGTGGTTGATTTACCTGACTCTTATTTTGAGCATTCAGTGCTTTCCAGCTAGGTGCTGTCCTTGACATCATGTGTGATATTACTTGATATCATTCAGCCGTCTTGAGTCTCTTGTCATTGGAGACCTTGTTTTGTCCAGAGATTATCTTTGAGCTGGAGGACATGGAGCAGACTGAGATCTGCCTTGATCTCGCCATGAGGCGACTTTTGTTGGGATTTGGCGCTATATAAATAAAATTGAATTGAATTGAATCTGTTGCCTCATACTTCAGCTGGCTTTGCTGTGCTGAACATGAAGCTGATTGCATTTTAATTAGTGTCATAATGTACTTATGGAATAGTTTAAGGAAGTGTGGATAGCTCCCTACTTTACAACAATTGTATGGCGGTGAATTTTGGTGGAACTTCTAAGTATTGGCAGTAGGGTCATGGTTGCTTTAACAACTTGTTGGCTATAGCTGCCAGCCATCAGCTCAGCTTCACATATACTGATTCATGTCACTAAACTGGACCTCATTTTTAATTAAATTATCTGAAAATAATATGAACTGCTGTCTGGTAAAGACTATCCAAGAAGTTTTGGTGGCTGAAATTCTAATATTTTATTACTGATACTTTACAAAATTGAGCAGGTATGGCTCTGTGCGGTTTGTTGAAGTCATTGGTGCCTGTGTGTTTTGTTTTTGTTTTTTTTATATATGGTGAACACACATGCTTGTGCATGCACATGGATATGCTTTCTATTTATTACTGCCACACTGTGGAAATGTGGCAGTAACAGTATGTGGGAAATATTGTGTGTTTTGGGACATTTGAGGGTGAATTTACAAAAGAGGGTATGGTTGTTCACCTCTGCAGTCAGTCAGCTGCTGGCATAGAAACATAAAATGTGACAGCATTGTGACAGGTTAATCATCAGCTAATGCAGTAGCTGGCGATAAAAGGGTTGCAAGAAAGAAGCTAATATTAGAAAGGGCTATTTAGTTTCTGTGGGACGCATTACATTACATTCAAGTTTTGGTAAAAATGTTTGGTTTCTTTGTGTTTATATTTAAGGTTTAAATTTCACGCACTTGCTGCTTATCAGGTGACTCAAAGAATTTGTTTATCTTACTCTAGATTTAGTTTATGAGAGCTGAATGATCTTTGTCACATGTGCTGTTGTCATGATTGCTTGCAACAAAGAATAACGGTGGAGAGAAAGAATTGGTCCAAGGTGTGGCTTCATTTCATGAAGAAAGATGATAGTAGTCCTAGTTTTAATGTCTGTAAGCCATCAAGGCAGGTTCGAAATGTCAGTGATTTGCTGACACATTCATCCACACAACAGGGAAAAGCTGAGATTCAGCATGAGAACTTCTGTTTTCCAATCAAGTTTCATGTCTGTGACCGAACATAAATGGCTCTTATTATAAAAATACTCCCACATAGATAGGCTTGGTGTCTTTTTTTTCTTTATAAAATTCTATTCTGTAAAACAGGGAGGGAGCATTTTTTTTAGCCTTGCTAACCACCGCTGCCCCACTAGCTAGTAAGCTGACATGTGAGTGATATTTGACATTCAGCTTTTGTTGATGTGTTACATCAGTTTTGTGCTTCTGTTTAAAGATGATGAGATGGAAGTCTTGAAAACAGTTTTCTTTTATGGCACAAAAGGGAAAACGTAAATGAAACTTAATTAACAGGAAAAGATGTCATTGAAATTGACTGTTATCCTTGAATTTTACAGTTTGTCCATATTTTATATGGTTAACAAAATAAGTCATTTGCACCCTTAGAGTCATTTGAATTTTTGCAAACCCTTGCTGGTTAATATTTCACTTTCATTTTGACTCAAAGTTGGTTCTGTTGTGCAGCTGCTGTCCCACTGGCCAAAGAAAGCAGTAGTTTATGTGTATATATGGGCTCTCATACTAACTGATCTATAAATCTTAAACTTAGATGGCAAAAACTAAAATCAAAATTACACTTCAAATTGGGAAAAAGAGAGTAAGAGACTAGAATGGTCCACTGTGGCTTTTGACCAACTGTATTTTTACATCCCTGGGTGATAATGACTTTCAGATGCCACTTTTGTAGCTTACATCATGCATTTATACAGTTGGTGTTCATTTCTTTACAAGTCTGCTTGTTTTTGCCTAAGCTAAGCTTTTAAAGAAATGTAAGTTTTGCAGCAGTCATGTAATAAGTCTGTGCCTGTTTGTCAATCCAGCTGAACCGGTCTCTTCACTTCCTGGATGACAGGAGCCCTCAACATCCGTTCTTCCTGATGCTGTCCCCTCCAGCTTGTCACTCCCCCTGGACTGCAGCGCCTCAGTACCAGAAAGAGTTCAAGGATGTCCAGGCCCCTCGAGATGGCAGCTTTAACAAGCCAGGGAAGGTATGCCTTTTCAAGAATGTTATGCTATGTGTCTGGTGAAGTCCAGTTTTAATCATTTAAGGCGACTGGCAAGAGTAAAATCTTTTTTTTCGAGGCAGCACCTTGAAACAGTGATCCATGCTTTTATTTCTTCCCGCCTGGACTACTGTAACTCACTTTATGTGGGGGTCAGTCAGTTGTTGCTCTCACGTCTGCAGCTGGTTCAAAATGCGGCTGCACGACTCCTAACAGGAACTCGAAAAAGAGAGCATATAACCCCCGTGCTAGCCTCTCTGCACTGGCTGCCTGTGTCTTTTAGAGTTAATTTTAAAATTCTTATGTTTGTTTTTAAATGCCTTCACAGTCTTGCCCCGCCTTACCTCTCTGAGCTTCTTCATCCCCACATACCCTGTCGGTCTCTCATGTCAGCTGACCAGCTGCTCCTGGAGGTACCGAGATCCAGGAGGAAGCTCAGAGGGGACGGGGCCTTCTCTATTGTGGCTCCAAAATTATGGAATAATTTGCCCATTCATGTTAGAGAGGCCCCTTCACTGTCCACTTTTAAATCATGTCTTAAAACCCACTTTTATTCCTTGTCTTTTAACCTCAGTGAGACTTAGTTTCTCTTTTAATTGAAGTAGTTATTTAATTAATGATTTCACTCTTCTTTTATTTGTGTTTTATTTATATCTCATGTAATTTTATTTTACAGTTCCAATGTACAGCACTTTGTGTCAGCTGTGGTTGTTTTAAAGTGCTTTATAAATAAAGTTGATGATGATGGTGGTTTTTAATTTTGTTTCTAATGAATCTTTTATTTTTGTGAATGCTTTAGGAAAAACACTGGCTGCTGCGCCAACCTCCTAACCCGATGCCAAACAGCTCAATCACTTTCCTGGATAATGCATACAGGAAAAGGTACAATTGTTAAGCGTACGTCTCTTTTTGCATGAAAGCGCATAGTTCGTAGAAGACAAAGTCAGAATAGTGTCACCACTGTCAAACAAGAAAATGTAAAAAAAAAAAAAAAATGGTAAAACTAGTTTTGTTTTTGTTTATTTTCTTCTGTCTTCCTCCTCCCCTCACCGCAGCCTTGTTCTGCCAGAGGTTTCTTCCTGTTAAAAGGGAGTTTTTCCTTTCCACTGTTGCCAAAGTGCTTGTTCATAGAGGATCATCTGATTGTTAGGGTTTTCTCTCTGTTTCCTTTGCATTATTGTAGAGTCTGTACCTTACAATATAAAGCACCTTGAGGCAAGCGTTGTTGTAATTTGACACAGAATTGAATCGAATTGTAGTTTTAACCTCATGAGCCAGCAGGGATAAAGCATTAATACATTTTAGCTGTTAGAATTCTGGAAATCACTCTTTGCTGCATCCTCTGATTTACAAAGTTCTTTTTTTTTTTTTAATCAATTATTTATTCAACTACCTCAGAGTTTTCTGCATGATGCTTTTGAATTTTATGGTATTGTATTTTTAAAAATACGGAAAGGATCCTGTGATCATCCTCCCTATTTGTCTTCATTGGGGTTGTTGAGGTCAACACCAGAGCTTTTTTTTTTTTTCCCCCATAGATAAGAAATATTAGAAATTGACTTAGGAAGGACAAAGCCTTTCTTGAAACTGAAGTAAAATAGAAGAAATTAGAATGGGTACTCATTGTTTGGTCCTTTTTGGTCTGAAATTACGTAACAAATAAACAATTAATTGTAATTGCTTGAAAAAAAAAATTGCAAATGACTAAAAGTTATGAATAAAATTTGTTCCAATGGGTTCAGGAAAGCAAAATTCCACACTTGCAAACAACTGGAGATATTAAACCAGTCTAAAGAATTTAGAAAACAAAATCCCTGAATCATAGGAGTAATTGCAGTTATCTGCAGTTCCTCAGTGGTAAAATCAGTATTTGTGTTCAGCCTGACATATTAAAGCCTATGTCTGCACTTTAACTGCATCTTTATTGATTTCTTTAAAATCCATTTTGTTTGTGTATAGATCCAAAATTATGAAAATCATATCAACATCCAAATATTTCTCCACCTAGCATGTACATCCAAAAACTTCTGATGTCTCTGGCAGGTGGCAGACCCTGTTATCTGTGGATGACATGGTGGAGAAGCTAGTGAAGAAACTTGACAGTATAAAGGAGCTAAACAACACCTACATCTTCTACACTTCAGATAACGGCTACCACACAGGTCTGTTTTTGATAAACTCCTCCATGTAATCTTAGATTAGTTCATGCTCTGTACCTTCTGTCTGTGTCATCTTGAGCTGGATTTATACTGCTGGGTTACAGAAGACAGTTTAATTTTTAATTTTTAGCCCCCTGGCTGCATTGCATAAATGCAAGTTACCAAAACATTTTAAGTTACTTTTAGGCCCTTTTTTATGGTTTGTTTTCTTCAAGAAATACCATGGGTAATAGAAAATAATTCAATTTAATTCAATTCAGTCTATTGATATAGCCCCAAATTACAACAGCAGTCACTTCAAAGTGATTGCTGGGTGAACGTCCTACAATAATACAGAGAAAACCAGAACAAAAGAACAACACCCTGTTGGCAATGTTGGCAAAGGAAGAACTCAGGAAAAAATTTCAGGCAGAACCAGGCTTAGGGAGGGGCATCTATCTACCACAACCAGTTGGGGGTAAGGGGAGTGAGACAGGGAAAAAAGACACACTGTGGAAGCAAACCAGAGATCAATAGTAATTGATGACTAAGTGCAGAGTGATGTATTAAAATATAGTGAGTTAAGAAGAAATGAGGGAAAATTCAGGTCAACTGATCCATCCCTAACTAAATGCTTTATCAAAAGACCCTCTCCCTCTTAAAGAGGGTGTGTGTTTCCTAAATCCAAGGTGGGAGCTGATTCCACTGGAGAGAGGCACGAAAACTGAGGCTCTGTCTCCGTTCTACTTTTAAAATAAATGATAGGAACCACGAAAACCAGCAGTCTGAGAGTGAAGTGCTCTATTGAGGTGATATGGTACTATGTGGTCTTTAAGATGGGCCCTGATTATTCAACATCTTGTATGTGAGGAGAAGGATTTTAAAATTGAGTCTGGATATAACGGGGAGTCAATAAAGAGAAGCCAGTACAGGAAAAATAAATCACTTACTGTAAAGACACCATCCGACTCCAGATCATTGTCATGTACATGCGCTTCTAATAATGCTGAGAGATTTGTGTAAAAAAAAAAAAAAAAACAGAATCTGAGGCACTCTGCTGAACATATGTAATTGCAACATTTCTGTATCTTTTATGTTTAAAAAAGAAAAAACCTTCAGATTGGTTTGTCTTATATGAATGATAAATATAATAAACCCATATTGACCAATGACTGACCTGTCTGTATGGGATTAGTTCAGTAATAAAAATGTGCAAAAACCTGTAAATAAACAGTAATGACAGCAACAAATAATCACCCAACTGAATGAAATAATTATTTTAAACCATCTGATGCTGTTTTAAAAGCAATAGCGGGTAAATTGTTTGTTACAGGTTACATTTGTCTGACCTGAGAGCTTATAGGTATTTGCACAGTCACCTGCCAGTTTACTGTGTACACCTTTCTTTGCATTGAAACCCCTTTTAACTGCAGTACTGCCCTAATTATTTATGGCCTAGATTCAACGAGATCCTGGAAACATTTCTCACAGTTTGCTCCATACTGACACGATTGTATCATACAATTGCTGCAGATTTTCATTCACAATGCAAATCCTCAATTCCACCACATCCCAAAGGCACTCAATTATGTGGCAAATGGAGGGCATCTGAATACACTGAACCCATTGTCTGTAAACCAGTTTGAGATGATTGAGCTTCGTGTAGATCAGCAATATCTCAAATACTCAAACCACTCCATCTGTCACCAACAACCATGCCACGTTCAAAGTCACAGAAATCACCTTTCATCCTCATTCTGATGCCTTGAGTTGCTGCCTAGTGATTGATTAGATCTAGGTGTAATCAGCTGTACTTGCTGTTCCAGGTCAGTTCTCACTGCCCATTGATAAGAGGCAGCTCTATGAATTTGACATCAGGATTCCGCTAATGGTCCGCGGTCCTGGCATAAAAGCCAAGCAGGTGCTGCAGGTCAGAACAATACTCCACTAAAACACACACTCCAGCTGCTTAAAAGCATATTAATGTCTCTGGAACTGTTTTTTGTTTTTTACCTTTTTTTTCCCCCCTCATGTCTTTTTTCTTCCAGGCTCCAGTACTGAATATAGACCTGGCTCCCACCATACTGGACATAGCTGGAGTCAATCTGTCGTCTGTGAATGTGGACGGGCAGTCTTTCCTCGCTCAGATGGTCAGCTGCTTCTTTACATTGACTCTCACTTATTTTTCCCTCATGCTAAATCTTAACCCAAATTTTATCTTAGGCTCCTTCATTGCGTAATGGCACTGCACGACCATACTTCCTTGTTGAGTACACTGGAGAAGGACAGCCAACGTCAGATCCTACTTGCCCTAAATTAGGTCCAGGAGTATCTGTGAGTACCTACAAAAGCAGGCTTCCTATTCTGGTCACCACTGAAAGTAACATGCTTCCAGTAATATTATAGTCTCTGATTGAAAAAGGGGGGAAAAAGTTATTTAAAATAATTCCTTTTTTCTCTTCAGTGTCAAAGTATTATGATACCAAAAAAGGGAGCTGAATACAGTAGAAGTATTTTCTCAGCCTTTCCACTGTTTTCCTCTTTGCTTTTTTGATAATGCACTGAGGGAAGACTGGATGCTACTCACTACTTGACTTATAATAGAAACTAAACTATAGCCTGGCTCTATTGAGCTTCATGATGTCAGTACACAGTAACTGAAGTCAGTTAATTGTTCAGATTCTATTAATGGCTTGAGTTAATGGTGCAAATTTGTAAGGAAATTTCCAATAAGTGCCTTTTAATAGCAAATTCTGAATAGATGGCAATTTTCCTAATTGGAAACAACTGTGGACTAAAGCCTAAAAATAGGGTTCATGTTGCCACAAAACATATTGCTCCTGCTGATTCTGAAAGTTTGTTGTTCTGTTCCCAAGAAACCTTCACTGTAACATTTTTCACTGTCTTTAGCAATGTTTCCCAGACTGTGTTTGTGAAGACGCCTACAACAACACGTACGCCTGTGTCAGAACTCTGGACAGCAAAATGAACATGCAGTACTGTGAATTTGCAGACAGTGAGGTACACCCGGGACTTTTTTGTGTGGGGGTTTTGTTTTTTTGGACACATTTTAGTGAAAGTAGATGTGAAGCTTCTCAGTGTTTTGTTTTGTTTTTTTTACCCCCCAAGTCGTATGTAGAAGTCTATAACCTGACGTCGGACCCGCATCAGCTGGAGAACATCGTGAAGAAGGTGGATCCCTCCATCCTGCAGATCATGAACCAGCGGCTCATAAAGCTCCAGTCCTGCGTGAGTGACAGCTGCCGGGATTACAAGCAAAAATAAGACCGCCAAAGAAGCTGCCAAACGATGACCACACCAAAGTCTGAAAGGAGGGTGGGATCAGTCTGTCCAAATTTTTACATATATGAGATGAGATTCTGACAGGAAAAAAAAACATGGTTGACAAATAAAGTGACTGGTGGCTGTATTCCACTTAACTGTGTCAGTTTCAGGGGCCCAGAGTCATTACTTTCTTTGGAAATTTGCTCTTTTGATGACAGGGACACAAATTATGCAACTTGTTTATATATACAGATATATATGAAGCCACCACTAGAAGTTTGGTTAGCTTAGCCTGTATATGGGGGAAGACGGCTTGCCAGCGTGCAATGATAACGCAATCAACATTTCGTACTATATACCAGTAAATAGAGATGGATTGACATATCTGGTAAACACTGATATCAGCCAGTATCGACCTTGTTGATTGTTATCAGCGTGTGCACGCATTTGCACTAAATGTTCAAACATTTAAAAATCTAAAGGACTTGTCAATTTTTTTTTATATGATGTCGATAAAAGCAAGAAAAAAGACAACAAAGTAAACATTACCCAATCGTTATCAGATATCGGTCAAAATGTTGGATTAAACATCAGTACTGGAAAAGGGTTCACAGTTGGTGTATTATCAGTATACTTTTCCTTTTACGAGTCAAAATTTCTGCCGTCTTTCTGAGCCACACTCGTCTAGCTTCTCTTGTAAGTTTACTTTTGTTTTTCAAAGGCGCTACATGTAAGCTCAGTGTTATGGCATTCCTCTACCTCTCCATCAAGTCTCTGCAGTGAAATGGTAGACCTTATTCTGCACTCTTGGTGATCTGTTGGAAGTTGGAGGAACATCCTTACCAAAATTGGCAGCTGGTGGAGAACTGGCTCATCTACTGCTATGCCAGGCTCACCAAGACTGCAGAGTGCAAGAACTAAGTCCAGGTTTTGGAGGGACTCAGTGGCCAGTCTTCAATTTGAAAAACGTTAGATGGGAAAGAGTTAGCTGCTTAGCAGTGTCTGAAATTCCCACATAAAATACTTGCGTAAAGCACCTCTAAGATAACCTGCTTTCCCCATGCTGTCGTGTGTTTGTGTATAAACTGCAATTTTCAGGCATAGTCAGTGTCTTCTGAACATTTCACCATTCTCAGAAACACAAAATGTTTGATTCTTCTTCTTACTTTGATTGTGAGCAGTTAAGAGAAAGGTTTACTGCTACACTGAAACTGTGACTCATCATCATCGTCTTTGAAGAGTTGGTTTAACATTCTAGGGTTTCATTTAAATGCTTTCCATGAGTTGGATGAAGGGATTAATATGACTTAACTTTTTTTTTCATTCAGTATAAACATACCACCAATTATTAGTTAGCCAGCACAGAAAATTTAAGCAACTGCGTGTAAGTAGGTTTACACATGGTTATGCTAATCTGACCAAACCAAAAGCTGCTTCTAACTGTATAATGTGGAGATGTATTGTGTCAATATTCTTTTTTGTTTTTGTTCATTTTGCTTTTTTTTTTTTTGTGGCAAAAGCTTAGTTTCCATAAAAGATCTTTGTACTCTCATAACTATCTCTGCAACCCTTTCAATGAAAGACAACAAAGTCTGAAATGTTCACCATGTCCTGTATCCAGTATAACAGTTTATTTTCAGTATTGTGCCTCAGATTTGAAGAAGGAACTCGGCTTTTAAAAAACTGAACTCTTTATTACTAAGAGCCTTTTTTTAATTGGTAGCAGGAACACATGCTGATATTTTTCATATGTTTTCTTACTGCAAGGAATATATTAAGGGAACTTTTGCACAGGGATGTTTAAGATGAACACTTTAATCCTGTCAGCCTTATGTTCGCACTGATGAGGTGCATGTGCCTTTAAAATGTGAACAAATCTGCACTGTGATGAAACTGATTAAATTAAATGAAACATTTAAATGCACTTTTTTGTAGGTTTCCTTCTTAATGTGACGTTATGGTGGGTTCAAGTCAATTTCCTTGGGGGGGGGAGTGTACATTTTATAGCTGGCCTAGGTGGCCAGCTGAAATTCCCCTCCAAGATTATCAGGTAATTTCTAAAACCTGACAAAGTGTTTTGATCAGCTCGTCAAAGGTGTGTCAGGTAGAGTTACCTGTGCTTACACCAAGATTGACATTTGGCATAACTGAGCTCTGATTCTTTTCTTAGCCTGGCTACAGAGCTGAAAAGAAACCTGGGGCCATTCTCCCTTTACTTATGTTAGTTTCCTTTATCACTGATGAATAGTAAGATGTCTTAGTTTTGCAGAGGACTTTTTAAAAAGACTTTAACATTACACCTTAAATGCACATTTGAGTAATACAACTCAGTCAAGCATCTCTGATGCGTTGCCTTCTTTCACACAGTGAAGATGGAACGCCATTATCAAGATAATCAACCTTTGAGATTTAAGTTCAGGTAGTGTTGTGTTAGCATGTGGCTTTGGAGATCATAATAGAAGAGGAATCAATTAAAGACTCTGGATTGAAAACTAATGAGACATGTTTCTAAAGACTGTAGTCTAAAACAAGACAACCACTAGAACCCTGCAGAGGACTGGACTATGAAGCTGCAGACCAAGAAAAACTTCACCACAGAGGAGACATCGTGAAGCCAGATGGAAGTATGCCAAATACAAACTGAGAAATATTATACATACTGGAAGCACATCCTTTGGTCAGATGAGAAAAAACTAGAGCTCTGACCTATTTTTTTGTTTTTTGTGAAATAATTTTGTTTCTGTGTGCAAAGTAAAATAATTTAATCATCCAAAAAAAAAAAAAAGGTCAGGTCGCTTTGTCGTCTGCCAACATCACATTCCACAGAGGCTCCTGCCTGACCTCATCTGTCAACCTGTCATTCAGCATTGCAAACATGAAGGGACTCAGAGCCATCCCTGATATCTCTGTCATCTCACCCCGACTATGAACCCCTCTGTCACTCCTACTCCACACCTCATCTAACGAGCTTGAAAAGAAAGCAAAAAATGCAACATCATTCTTTAAAAAGATATGGATGGATTGGGGCTTTTCCATTGCTGAAAAAAACCCACTCAGGGTAGAAATGTTTCTTCATAGGATAAAGGTGATCAGATCCACACTCTCCTTTAAAAGGAGAGGTGAATCCAAATCACGACAACAAAATTGCCACACAGCATCCCAGAGCTCTGGATCTTCTTCCGGGAGGGGTTAGAGGTTCAAGTATTTCTTTTGTCACCTGTCTGTAAATCTGCTGATGACACAGTGTTTGATGTGTTTTCACATTTTAAATACTCAATAAATATGTGCAGTTATGTCAATTTCCTTTGCAAACCAGCACTATAAAGTTATCTCTTAGAATTCAAGGTTTTGATCATTTATTTAACTTCAGGAACAGACATTGATGAGCATTTTGTAGAAAATGCAACAGGTTTCACCAGCTAATTTTATAACAACAGTGATCTCCTCTCTCCTAACTTAAAACCCTTTTGAGGACATAAATAAAACAAATATTTGAAATCTGCTCATTCATTTTTCAAAAATCAAAAAGGTAGAAACTGGTAGCACATCTACTATCTACAGAGAAAATGGTTATGGACAGTTTAATCAGAGGTACTTGTACACAATCTTATCCTGCAGGGTCTGAATCTCTAACTTGACAGGGCATTTGTAAAAGTGTGACAGCAGTGACTCTGTATAGCCAATCAGGAAGTAAAACTTCTGTGGTGGTAACTTCTGTAGCATCACTGCGCACACATTCAGCAAATTGCCACGCCTTTTGATGACAATCTCATTGGCCAGGCACCCGTGGAACGTCCCAAACATGAACCTCCGAATGAAGACATCTTCTACAGTGCGTTCAGCTGCCCCATCCTCTCCTTTGAGGTTACCTATCAGCAAGAGAGAGAAAAAACTGGAGCTGTCGTGAAAGATTAAGAGGAATTTGGACTGAATTACACATTAGCTGCGGCTGATGGACAAAGATGTGCAAATGAAAAGATTACTGCCTCTTCAGCAAAATATTTATTAATAAGGCTCACAGTCACATTAGACAACATAAATCTTATTTTAAGTTTCTTTACCATGTTTAATATTATGTTTAGAGATATAGTTGAAAAGTTTAATATTTATCTTTAGGTCTTAATTTTGCTTAAATTATCCATTTTCTGTAATAAACTGCAAATACCATATGGAGACACTGAAAAGTATCAAAAGACAGAGCAGAGTTTGATGAAGTCTAAAAAGATTATAAAATGAAACCACTAGTTGCTGCTGTCTGGCCGTGGAGAGCACAATCATCATGACTCTATAAATTGTTTCCGACAGAAACAAGTGCACTGACGTGCAGCAGATAAAAGCTGTGTGCTCGGCCTCACTTCAATAATCTGAGACACTGAACTGGACCTGTCCTGTTTGTGCTGCAGTTTTGATGAGTGAAATTCTATTATTTTATTGCTCTGTTGTTTAGCATGTGTATGGTAATTAACAGACTAATACGATAAATTCTGGTTCCAAAAAGCCAACTGGGCTGCAAGCAAAATACTAACAGGGAGGCTTCAAAATGCACAGTGTAGAACCAACAGGTGATGTCACAGCGGCTACATCCATTGGTTTGCTTTATAGACCATCAAGTCAAAAAGAGTTTTGATAAGTCAAAAATCAGCTGTCTCTCCAGCAAGTCTCTCATCTCATGGTCAGACAGACCCAAACCTCATAGTTTGAGAACAGTTAGAGATGGTGGTTCTCGTTCTTCTACGCAGCCTAATCAGTTCTCCACTTGCTGCAAATTCTAGTTCAAGCTTCCAGCAAATCTCCACAGAAGAACAAGGACTGCTGATCTCCCCATTGTATCCAACTGCAGGATGAGAGACTAACTGGAGAGCCTCAGCAGTGGGTGAAGCACTGGGTCTTGCCAGCTTTTCTCTTTGAAGGTGCTTGATTGCTGTGGTTCTCTTGAACAGATAAAAATATTTAATCAAATGCTAAAATGAGTTTCGACTTGGAAAATGTGTTGGACACACTTTGAAAACATGGAAATGTTTCCCAGTATCAGTGTGTGGATGGCCTGTGCACAACACTTTAAGTCTGTGGCACAGGACCATTCAAGCTAAAGTGCATAGTTTGGTTGGACTCAGTGATGATTGGTATGTTGTCTGAGAGCTATCCGCACCAATGACTGCTTCCATAAAAATCACTGAGTTAACTAATTCATGACCAAACATGTGAGAGGACAGTGTGCATAAAATCAAATGTGCCTAGTGAGAGTATATTCTCAATCTCAGTCATGCTTACTGGTGTGCTGTGACAGCCATCCTTTGCGGTGGCCAATGTGGTGAGGGTGATGCGCTTGCTCATAGGTCACAGGTTTGTCTCCTTTCCCTACTCGGATACGAGCGGCTCGATTCTGTAAAAGAGAAAGACAAAAGAGCACCACCTCTTGGGTATATTTGGAGAAAACACTATCAGACCCATTGAAAGTTAATAATCTATAACAACCTAACAGCCTTTGTAAAAGCAACAAAAAACCTCAAATTACTATTTTTTTAAAAATGGTTGTGACCTCTGAACTACTCTGACTGTGGCTCCGGTAAAGTATCAGAATACTGTGAAAGTTAAAAAGATAAACACTATGTTAAACAGTTAGTGTTGCTGATACAACAGCCCTGAGACGGTCAAGGCCGCTTACCTTGCAGCACGACACAGTAACATGGAGGCCCCTGCTTCCAGAGAAGCTGCACAATGAGCTGGACCAAGCTAAGGCGCTCTGCAAAACAGGTAATGTGGTGAGAGTTTAAACCAGTAAGTAAATATTGAATTGATGGTCAGAAATCATTTCAAAAGCAAAACGGTACATCTGGCTTCTCCCTTATTTCCCAATGGGGATGTCAAAGCATGTGGCTCAGCATGTTTGACTTAGCAAAGATAAGCTGGAAGTCCTTGCTGATGCAACACTCCTACTTAGCAGGAAGAGGTGTTGGGCAAGACAAGGCTTTGTAAAACACTGAAATGTCTGAAGCAATTGTGCTTGAATTGTAATACCTACTGACCACTCTGGCAGTCATTACATCTGCTAATGCTAGTCTGTGAAACAATCATGCATGCTAGCATTGGACAAACAAGAATACTTATTAAAACTAATAACTTATTACTACACATAATTATAATCAAGACATCTTTTGGAGTATTATCTGTACAAACATTAATATTTGGATCATGACAGCAAGCTGTGACTGTAGTGAACAGTGGGTTTCAGCGAATTTTATTTTCTTCCTGTGTTAACATGCAGAGGCTGTTTCAGTTGCTTAATAATGTAGCGCAAAATATTTCAAACCAAGTTAAGAAAGGAAAATACAAGGAATGGAGATTTTCACTCAGGCCCTCGGGTCTAACATCAGTGTCTGATCTCATTAATGCTCTTCTTGATAAATGGACAATTATTTCCACAGACAGCCTCATAAGTCTTGTAGGAAGCTAATTTTGCTGCAGAGGTGGAGCAGCTCCCCACTAATGCTTATGGATTTAGCGTGGGATATCATGGAAGCTCCTGTGGGTGTAATGTGCAGGTGGCAAAACACTTTTGTCCATATAATGCATCTCTGCAACACAGTGCACAGATGTCTTGGACATAGTGTCAGAGATGTTGTATCGTTAAATCACAGCTAGTCTAAACTGTCTTGTGAATCATTCCTATTGCAAATTGTTTTAAAGTTGTGTAGTAACGAGTTGTTAAAGGGTATTTGTCGACATCTTAGTTGCCGTTCTTAGTATTCATAATGCAGTATCAGATATTTTGATAAGGCAAATGTTTCCATGTTTGATAATTCAGGTTCGTAGTGCCACAAACAAACACGCTTGGCTTCTGTGGTCATACAACGCAGTAGTAACAAACTGACACAAACGTTTGTTACATGTCTGAAATTTTTGCTATTTATCATAGAAACCTAG